TAGGACACTGATTGTGCAAGTCAAATAAGAGCTATAAATTTAGAGAACTAACTATCAAAATTTTAAGATCGGAATTGGAGTGATGGACACATTTAAATGTTATTGAAAAAATATTTTTGTTCGTTATGTAGGCTAGAATAAAATAAATTCAGTGGTTTCCAAACTTTTTGTACCATCGCCCCCCTACAGTAGTTTATACAAGTTCATCGCCCCCCCGGCACTGCGAAAAAAATGTAAAGTCTGAAATGAATATATTACAGACCGAATAATGAGACAAATCATAGTTTATAGTATTTTTTGATGAGATGGATGAGCTTGGTGTTCTTCAGCGAGTTTTTTATATTATCTAAAATTACCCTGTTTACTGATGGAAAGGCGATTTCGTTGTTTTGATAGCAATAGTAGCACAGCTGAAAAGCCCTCATCATATTAGCGGTCGGAAATGAAAGAATCCAGGGTTCTACTTCCTCAAAAACCGCCGTGTACTCTTGCCTTATAGCAGTGGTCGGCAACCACCGGGCCGCGACCTATCGCCGGTCCGCGGAAAGGTTACTGCCGGTCCGCAGAGAGGTGACACAAAAACGGCTAATTCTATACTTCAGAATCCGGATAATCATAAAGTTAGCACATCGGGTAAAAAATAGTTTTGGTAAAACAAACATCAAGCAATACCCAGATCGGAGTCAGAAAGTTTACAGGCATTGTTACCTTTCCCAAAATCTTATTAATGTGAGACCTGGTTTCTAATATTGATATCATCAAAAACGAAATATCGAAGTAGTCTGGATGTAAGAAACACGTTACGTGTGTCAATGTCGACCATATCTCTAATATGGAAACAGTTAATGGCCAGCAAACAAATACTGATATTGCATTAAACAGCATCACTTTCGTTTTTTAGTATATTGTAAACATAAATTTCCTAATGCGTATAATTTATTGCATAGGCTTAGTTTGCTTAGTTTCTATATTTTGTATATAAAGGGTCCGCCAAAATTTTGGTCATGCTTTGCCGGTCCGTCACTTGAAATAGGTTGCCGACCACTGCCTTATAGCATTTAACTCCCTAAATTCACCCCTTTTTGCATTTAGGGTTGCTAATCTTTTGCGGGTCGCATATAATCGTCTTATTAAAAAATTATTACAATGACGTTTAATGTGACACTGTCTTGTTGCTGCATCACGCTTGATAGCTTTACGACGCCAAGATTGGAAGATTTTCTAAATGGGCATCACTAATCCTAGTTCTAGCTTGTTCTTTGTAATGTTCATTTTCGAAAATAATTGTTCGCAAACATATGTACTTCCAAACATCGAACGCATGGTTTGTCAAATGTTGATAAAGATTTTCTTTTAAGAAGATACATTCTTACAAAAATTAAGCAGTGATGAATCCCTCGAATAGAATATGAAGATTGGAAGATTTTCTAAATGGGCATCACTAATCCTAGTTCTAGCTTGTTCTTTGTAATGTTCATTTTCGAAAATAATTGTTCGCAAACATATGTACTTCCAAACATCGAACGCATGGTTTGTCAAATGTTGATAAAGATTTTCTTTTAAGAAGATACATTCTTACAAAAATTAAGCAGTGATGAATCCCTCGAATAGAATATGAATTTTATTTCCTTATTGCATTGCAATATATTCTAATATTTACTGCGCTATTGAACCCCTGCACTCAGCATCAACTTTTCTGCGTGTTTCCTATTGTCTAATTATAATTGAATTATAGGCTCGTTAAACGAGAAGCTTTTTAATATAATTTTAAGGATATAATAAAATTTTGTCTAAACGTGCCTCACGATAAATTCTGTTACATAAAAAAATGTAATTTACTCCTCGAGCGTAGATTGTAAATAAAATTGATTCATCGCTAAAACCGCCGTTTGGATGTTTCCACGGGCATAGACTTTGTTTACTTCGTGACATTGGCCATTCAGCAAGATGCAAAAATAAACATAACAATGCCCCCTTTTGCATCAGACACATTTCTCACTCAGACAGATTTTCAGGCGTGGCGTGAAAATGACCTCATTTTGGCGTTTTTGAATTATATTCGTTAGTTTTTAGTTGTTTTTCGGAAATTTATCGGAAGTCAATGATCACTTTGTCTCCCCAGAAGTTTCAGTTTATTTACAGTAGGCAAAAATTTGGTGTATAAATATCTTTGATGGACTAGGCTTAAATTCTTTAATGGTACTTATAAAAAACAGATTCTAGAGTGATATGAATTAGGATGATAGTTTGAAACAAATACCCCGTTTTACAGGCAACAATTCGCAAAACCACTCTTGAAATACGCACCGAAAATTTTAAATGGAAAAGTATAGGAAAAATTTTCCGGGGTCAAAGGTAGGGGAACGGTCCATTCAGTGGAGCGTCCTGGGCCTGATTATTTTACTTCGGCAGCCGTATTTTGCCGACCACTGGGATACGGAAACGACCGTATCTTTCTGCGAAGTCGAGTCCAGCACTCCTTTCGCGTGTGATTTTTTCGCCCCCCTCTGTAGCGTTATCGCCCACCGGGGGCGATATCGCCCACTTTGGGAATCACCTAGACCAGTGCTCTTCAATCTTTCTGTTATTGCGAAACCCCTGATATCATTTTTCGTTTTTTATGGAACTCCAAATAACAAAAATAAAACACGAAATACTCGTAACACGGAATATTTGTAATTCAAATATTTCCATCTCATCAACGAAACAGAAAGAAGGTAACAAGCGTGAAACTCAATGACTAGGTTGTTCTTGCATTTTCTTTGCAATCTTCTTGAATCGTGGCTCCACGGCGCTCAAAGCAATTCTCATACTGATGTCTACACTCTTCAAACAACTTCTTTTTTGTTATTAATAGTTGTTAAAGCAGAAAATGCTGATTTACACAAATAGGTATTGGGAAATTGACACAGAAATTTTAATGCATTTTTGCAATTGCTGTACCCTCTTTGTGAAGAGAAATCCAAAAATATTCCTTCCCATTTTTTTCGAAGGTTTCCTCAGAATTAATATCATTACGGATATCTAGGAGTCCTTCTTGCTGTTGCGCACTTAGAAATTCATCCAAAAATGGAAAGGAAGAATAATCATTTTTTGCAACTTTACTGGCCCAGCAGTCATTTTTTCCTTTACGCGGAACAAGGAACCCTATAAACTCACGGAACCCCACTGCATGCGTTGCGGAACCCATGTTGAAGAGCACTGACCTAGATAGCTGATTGATTAAAAGGAGTTGATTTGCTACCAAGCCTATATACTGCTTTGTACCGTAAGCGAAATTTGCAATGAGAATCAAATTGTAAAGTTTTCTGATTAAGTTAGTTCCTGGTTCAAATACCGTCACTGTATATCAATTTGAAAAATAACTGATGATTCACTGAACGCTTGTACATCGGTAATGTATTTTAGTCTAAGAATTTGCATTCATCGCATGGAATTGATAATACGGTGCTTTTATCTCCTGCAAACCAGTAATTGGCCCATCATTTGTGGTTAGAAATGATATACATTAAGATATATCAGGCGAAAGTTCTGTTGTGATGACGTTATACGATAACATATATATTTAAAATAGAGTAATATTAAACCGACTGAGCAAGACGAGGATAAATGCTAAATTACCGATGTTGGCATACATATATAAATTGATTTGTTTATTTATTCGAAGGTTTAAATTTTGTCTTATCGCGTAGGCAAAATAAAGCTTGTCAGCGCAATGAAGTGAGGAATATTCTCAGGCGGATTTAGGCTATATTGAATAGACGTTAGAAAGTTGGACTTAATGTAGCTAGAATATAGGGTAACATTCTTAATTGAGAACAATCAGTATTTACATTATACATCTGATTTTTGTCAGCAAAATTGTCAAAAATGGCAAAAAATTCTTCGAGTTTATAGCCACTTGAAAAAGGGGAAAATAATATTTCCAGAATAAACCTATTCAACGCGTCAGACATTTTCGCCAAGTTGAATTTAGTAAATTTCAAAGGATACTTAGTTTTAGACAATATAATTTTGCAGCCCCTCAATTTGTGTATTATCGAAGATTTTAGGCACGGAGGGATAAAGAAATTACCTTTCAATTCAACAACTTCACGAGTCCGTTATGAGTTTAAAAGGCTGTCGGCAGTGCACTTGCAGCTTAACTCTAACGAATTCGCTACTGCATCCTTACGTCTTTGAGTTTAGATATTCAAAGTCTGATAAACTCGTGGTATCGGTCTTATCGTCGAATGTTTTTAATCTTCTCTAATGGTTTAAATTTTTCAAGATAGTAATTGGGCATAGTGTGGATTTATTTGAATTATACACAACAATAATTAAAACGTATTTTCAAAAGAGGGATAAAGTCAAGTGGAATTTGATCTAAATGTCAGTATAGAAACATCTGATTTAATGTAGCCTATGTAGCTTCAATAATATCGAAATCATGTTTGACACTAACTAATCTCACTGAAGTCAGAAACTCTATCGTACTGTAATGCTATCCAAAATTTTCAACTGCCCAAGAAAGTGACAATGTGGGGAAAACAGTTGAAAAATATCTACAGACGGTTTGTGGTTATATATTGTAAACTGACTGAGTTCAAAGAAAATCATGAGTAGCTCTGATGTGAGTTTAAATATTAGGTACTCCTGAAGTACAACCTGGTACACAACCTGAGTTCAGGTTGTGCGCCATCTTGGTGCGTATACTTCGGGAGGTCCAAATATTATCATGTATAAATCACTAAATAATTTATCTAATCAGTTTATTATCTGTGCAACGGAGTCAACTACTTGAGATGACTTTAACAAATAATAAAATATGCTGGCTTCGACAGAAAAAGGCAGACGACATACATTTTTTATCCCTGATTATAATTTTTTGATTGTTAGTCAGCTCGCATAGACATGTGGCATGTCTTATCTATTTAATCACAATTTCAATCCGACTTTACACATATAATAATGTAGAAAAGTGGATACAACTTTACTAACTTGTTGAAATTTCCCTGTAGATCGTAAAGTCTAGTGATAAATAAACGAAAAGCGAAAATTACAACGACATATGGTATCTGAATATCGTGGAAAATGGCAGACATTGTGACGGAATCAGTTCAAGAACAAATTTTCTCTTTAAAAAAGAACCTCGATCAACAATTCAAAATATTTATTTGTAAGTGATTCGTAAATCACTCTATTTACATGTTCTCAAAAAGGTGTTATTTTTCAAATTGTTTTTATATTATTTGCCAAGTTTATATTTAAAGACTATAATTGAAAACTATGTATATATATGTTATTAGCTCACATTATAGTAATTGAGTCGATGTCAATATTTAAAACAGTCGTTTTAGAAGTTCCCAGTAAAAGATAGACTATTTGGGTATAACAGTTTACCGTCCGCGAATGAATCGTGTGGCGCATACCAGCCAATAGTGATTTAAAATTAGTATTGTCAAAAATTAGAATCAATATTATTTGAATTTACAATAATAGAGTTGTACATAAAGCAATACCGTAATTGAAGCGTTTGGAAAAATACATTTATTTTGATTTTTAGCCATTTGGATCATTTTTATGCAATGTGGATTCGCTCTGCTTGAAGCGGGATCGGTGCGAAGCAAAAATACAACGAACATACTGTTTAAGAATTTTTTGGACGTTTTTGTCGGTGCTTTATCATACTGGGTGTTTGGATTTGCGTTTGCTTATGGAGTGCCCGGGAATGCATTTATTGGACATAATTACTTTTTTTCTAGATCAGTTTCCCACAGGGAGGTTTGTTCCAAAATTTTTGAATTATTTTATATATAGGATATATAAATATAATATACCAGCGTCTCTCGTTATACATCTTGAGCGCTGAGATCTAAAACCCCAGTGATATTTATTAGCAATGGCAATGGTAGCAAGTTGTATAAAATAGTAATTGAGGAAATGAATGTTCATGAAGTTTTTTGTCTTTATTTTGTGTATTGACATTTGTCCTACAAAAGTAACACCGTAGAGTGGAATGTTTTCGTGTATAAGACTGTTGTGCTTTCAATCAATTTCAATCCCAATCCGTAACCTACACATTGTAAGTTCGATAAACCTGTTTCATCAACTTATAAAATATGCTATAGCCTACATGGCACATCAGTGTATTATATTGAATATAAAAATATTTATTCCAGATGCAATCCTTTTTCTAGTTTTATTTGTTCATATTCTGGACCAATTCTTTAACGCTCTGGCCAATACAAATATTTTATATAAATAACAAATTTGCATCGAAGTCACGAAGAGTTTGAAATTGTTATGTTCGCGATGCTAGTTCTTTTTGTCCTAATAGAGGTATGTTATGTACTCCACTATCCCCAATAAGGTGGAGGCAATGGAAGAAGAGTATTTTAGATTTAATTGAAATTTTTACTGTTTCAGATTTTGGGTAATATGTCATACGAGCTGGACATAGGAGGGTGAGTTCTATATATGTTAATTCGTGTAAAATGGTATTATATAATCGGTATTTGCATCGGTCCAAAATGAAAGTTTGGTATGATTTTTACTGGCTTGTTATACTATGCCCGTGTAAGTCAATGAACAAAATAAATTAATTCATTGTCTTTGCTCTATACAGAACAAATTCACCCGAAGTTATGAAAGCAAGTGAATATTATTCTTCATGGTTTTTCCATTTTGCGTTCGCAGCAACAGCTTCAACTATTGTATCAGGTGCAATGGCTGAAAGAACTCAATTTGTAGCTTATTTAATCTACAGTTTTGTCATAACAGGTAGGCCTTCGTTTTTTTGCGATTTAAACATATTTAAAATAAAAAAGTTTGAATTGGTTTCAGCCAAATTTGAACAAATATTTTTTTGTGGAATAATTATGATCTTGTTTATTTATTGACTTGGCAATTTTAAACTTTACAGGTTATATTTATCCTGTTATGTCGCACTGGTGCTGGTCAGATAACGGTTTTCTTCACACTGGTGCGGGATTAGGAGTTCGATTCATTGATTTTGCAGGAAGTGGTGTTGTACACGTTACTGGTGGAACAGCTGCTTTGGTAGGAGCTATAATTCTGGGTCCAAGGATAGGAAGGTTAGTAACATTTGCTACACTGTATTGCCAGATTACAATGGAATACAAATTGCAATTAAAACGCCAAGAGGAAAAGGAGGTGGTGTTGAAAACTACCATGAAATTAGAGAATTCATTCCATTATTTATGATCAGCTTCATCTTTCCTATACAGCAGGACAAACTTTATAAAAAAAATTCTTGTAAAAGTTAGACAGAAATTGATCAAAATTTGCGGTAACATTCGCATTCTCCTGAACAAATTCGGGCTGTCAAAAATACAAAATTCCAATCTCACGTTAAATATGAACCAAATTTTTATATCCTCGATAAGAACCTGGCATAATGTAAACATAAAACTAGTTGAAACACTCTTGACGTTAAAAATCGATCTTTGAACTATACCAGGTTTTCTAACGATGATGACGATGACCCAGAAAAATCCAAAAATAAATTTGACAATAAATTGAGAGGGCACAGTGTTCCCCTTGCCAGCATGGGGGGATTCATTCTATTTGCTGGATTTCTCGCATTCAACGGTGGATCACAGAGTACTATTTCTAGTAAGTAAATTATTTTTAGAATTTGAATTATAAAATTTAAGCAGTGGAATTCCAGTACAATGCATGACCAGTGTCGTATCTAAGTGAAATGACGGTCATGGTAAAGTTTGAAAATGCTCCCCATTGATCGTTAATTGACCGTTTTCAACGACTGCTGTTGAATTGACACACTTGTAATTTATTATTTAAGTAAAAATCCAATTTGAAAGTATCTTCCACGATTAAATCCTTTTCGCGCCCCATACCCTAGATACGCCATTGTGCATGACATGACGGAGGTGAACAAGTGTGACGGAATAAAATGTTACTATGATGTAATATCAAATAAGAGGAAATTGACTTAAATATCGAGGTCCATAGTACATAGTAGCAGAGAAATGAAAATCAGTCATCTTTACGTATACATTTGAATTGAATTAGTCGGGAAAAACGACAAAACAACAACAATTTATTTTTGTGCAATCAAGTTACTAGTAATTAGCCAATATTATTGAAATTGATGTATGTTCAGTTATAGTTCGACACCTCTATAGGGCAACAAAGGTTCGACCCTATCTGCGTGTCCACACTCCCGTGTTATTGAACACACGTTTACAGAGTGTAACTCCGATCTTGACTCCTTCAGAGGTCAATAAGCACACAATGTATTGAATGCCAAATGTTATATTGTAAAGTTGCACAATCGAATTGATCCAAATAACGAATTACACTTGAAACCTTAAAGCAAGGATATGTGATGAAACCAAATTTCTAACTAACAAAGAACGGCAAAGACAAGCTACACTGAGTGAGAGAAATATATCATAAAGGAAATGAGTTGGGACAACGACCTTGTTTCAGGCAAATAACATGCACTACTAACAATAAGTGGTGAAAATATTAAAATACACAGTAACTATCCTTATGTACTTGCTACACAATTCCCCCCGACAATAAAAAAAATTAGTTTGCTAATTTTTAAATTTTGTAAGACTAGCTAATAACGATTTCTGATTGAATAATATGTCGTAAAATTTGCCATGCATTGGTGTATTTAATTCTGCATCAAAGTCGCTGATGACCAACTAATGCAACGACACAGGAAAACCAATTTGATTGAGATACCTCCGGTTGAAGGATCTTTTGCGGTGAAATCTACAGATTTTCACGAAATCTTCGATAACACCCAGAACTAAGCCATTGCGTTTGGACAATCGACTTCTTTCTGCTTTGTAAAATAATGAGCGTAATAGTTGATTTGAAGAATAATGTTGACGTTAAGATTTCGTTCGTTGAAAACATTCCTCTAAGCTTTGAAAACCTGTCCAACTCTCGGATTTTTCAATCTGGGAAGATTGTCCGATGAATTGTGTGCTTTTTGACCTCTGAAGGAGTCAAGATCGGAGTTACACTCTGTTAACGTGTGTTCAATAACACGGGAGTGTGGACACGCAGATAGGGTCGAATCTTTATGGCCCTATATTTTGGATATGTGATGAAACCAAATTTCTAACTAACAAAGAACGGCAAAGACAAGCTACACTGAGTGAGAGAAATATATCATAAAGGAAATGAATTGGGACAACGACCTTGTTTCAGGCAAATAACATGCACTACTAACAATAAGTGGTGAAAATATTAAAATACACAGTAACTATCCTTATGTACTTGCTACACCTCCATCGACCCCTTTTTCACTTCTACTTTTAGACGGCACAGACGGTGTAACGATGTCAATGTCAGTGGTAAACACTATCATATCTGCTTCATCTGGCGGACTTTCAGCTTTAGTTTTCAACATAATTTTCTCACATTTCAAGGGACTAGAAACTTATTGGTCACTGATTATCGCTATTAACGGAGGACTTGCAGGTAGGCTGATGAACGTTACAACATTCTTAATTGGACGAAATGTTACATCAATAAAAATTATTTAAAAACTACCGAAACTACTAGTCTTGTAGGCCTAGCGCATCCAGACACCTATATAAATACTCAAATTATAGAATCTTTTTTTTTATTAGTTGTGCATAAGGCGTTTTTCACAACAATACCATGCACTTCAGTTATGCCAAAATATAAAACTCATGCTTTCCAGAATAGTTTAGGCGCGCTTTACCTATTCGCCATGGCATCGCAAGGATCTTCGCAGTAAAACATGTACATGGTGACTTCCATCAGAAAGCTACATAAAAGTAGATTGCATGGCCAGATTGGTATACATTGCTTGTATTGTTATTTATGTCGGTGGCCTGACAACAAAATCACACTTCCGTTGTCGAAACGACACTACCTACCATATGGCTTTGAAAGCTGTAACGAAATTGCGGTATCGTTAACGGTGACGAAGTTCAAGATCATTTGCATCCTTCGCTGATGTAGTGGAGATGATGATTGAAATCATATCGGGGCCTAGCCTAGTGTAGTTGTTTAAATGCCCTATTTCTTTACTCATTTCAACTCGTCTATTATTAATACTGTTCAGGCATGGTATCAGTGTGCGCTAGCAGCAACGATGCTCACCCATGGGCAGCTGTAGTTATCGGAACAATTTCTGGCGTTATGATGGTGGTAACGGAACATCTGCTGATTAAACACAGAATTGATGATCCTATTGGAGCAATTCCGGTGCATTTAGCTGGAGGTAATTTCTTATCTACGCATTCCTTCGGGAGGTAATTTATTATCTACTTCCTCTTGGTTGTCCAACGACTGAATTGTCAATTTTCACCTTCTTTACGTTTAGGACTCATCGGAGTGCTGCTTGCGCCCTTTTTCGTTATTCGGGGCTTGAAGGTTGACGGTACATATATAGGGGGGATTTTACTGGGTGGGCATGGAATGGCTTTTGCTTCTCTTGGCTGGAATATCTTTGGAACACTCTGCATTATATTTTGGACAGGTTAGAAAAAGAGTAGTCTATAGAATTTTACGTGATATAGTATAGCCGTTTAACAGACTCATAATTTGGGTATTGTAGATGTTGTAAATTTTCTGTTCATAACTTTGCAGTTCAATGAACTTTTAATTTTCTTGGAATAAGCAATAAAATTACTGCCAACGATATAGAAATTTTCATAGCGTTATACTGATAAAGAATGTAGACTATTGTGTTTTTAAGGGATGAATTGCTTGGTTGTGTTTACCGCATTAAAGATGATGGGATTATTACGAGTTACTGAAAATGAAGAATTGTTAGGACTAGATATCAAGAAACACGGAGAGCCAGCATATCCCGAAACGTATCATCTGTAAGTTATTTTCTAATCATCTATAATAATGTAATATACATAGATGGTGCTACACGCCCGTTGCTCAGAGATCTAAACCACAATTTTATGTCTCTGAAATAGCGTAAACCTTAATAGGCAATGAATGAAATTGCCCCAGGCAAAGTCTTATCACATCCAATGGCATTTCCCCATTTCACAGCTTTCAATTGGTGATTAACAGAACGATTGTGTCATTCCGTTTGAACAGTCAACCATGCATATAATATATATATACTTTGTTCTTCAATATAATTCGATACTCCACTGAAACAACTATTGATTTGAGTCAGGTCATGTTAAATTTTATTCGATCAGACAGAAACAGTGGTTTTGAAAGTTGAAAAGCCAACCCAGAAACCTCGACTAACAAAATTTCAAGTCTATCGGCAAATACCGTATTCATCGCAATACATAGCAAAATAATCCCGTAAGAGAATTGCGATTGCATTCATGCTAAGAATATAATGGTCGAAGCTTAAATATATATCACAGGAAGAATATCTAAATTTTCTACATGTCTTACAATACCACGACCGCAAGTAGATTGCAATATCTTGTCGTATTAACTTAATACAATTTTTTTTAAATGCATGCATAAGCTAAAACTCAACCTATTCCACAGACTGACAAATGAAAACGATATGTCTCCAAAACCTCCTATACGTCCATACAATAGACCAGCATCTCAAGTCTACTCTGACAATGAAAGAACTTTTACGGTGCATGAAACGGGATGCAGGTCTGACGTCGAATAACACAACATAAATATGTAAAATACATATTTGCAATAACATGATACTATCCGATCAATTGAGTGGGTATACTTAAGGATATATTGATAACGCTTAAATTAGTTTTCTTCCAAAGGAAATAAAACTATTTTCCGGCAATCACTTTCATGCTCACGTCCCAAAGATTTCATCAAAACTCTTTTGTGATTCCAGCTCTCAGTAATTTGACTATAAAAGGTCATATTCGGGCAATAAAAACCTCATTCTGATTATGATATCAAGCGTAGTCGGATAATCCAACGTTAGTAAATATATTCAATCTACTGAGTTTTTAATATTATTGCCAAATCTCAGATCTTTAATATTAAAAACACAAGTGTATTTGCAAATTGTTTACTACTCCAAATTTATGAGCACGGAACAAATTTCCCTATGCACTGTTTTGTTGTGTACATCTATGATATTATTTTATTATTTTTTGTAAACTACTTGCCATTTTTACAATAAAAAAGTTTCGTCAATTCTGATATCAGGAGTAAAAAGCTCCATGCTATGGTCTAGTACAGCGACCCCGATGGGGTCGTGAAGATTTTCCGGGGTCGCCTAACTTCTGTAGAACATGCGCACACAAGTTAATAGGATTTAAAAATTGAAATTTGTGCTGGTCGGCAAATACGGTAAAATTTCCAACTTCGGATTTTTCAGCAATAACTCGACCATTTATTGTCCAAACGGCCCCAAAATTGGTCGATTCTTTTTATAGCTTTTTTGATCATGTTACATCCGAATACGTTGTTGACCCGCTGGTACGCGAATCGGATTTATTGCCAAGTCTGCCAGAAGTTACGTTTTTTTTTATCAGTGTCGTCCAGCGTTTCTCACACTGTGTGCCGCAGCACGCTAGTGTGCCGCAAGAGCTTCTCAGGTGAGCCGCCGCGGAGCTTTTCGAAATTTTAGAAAATAAGCTGTTTGTATTACACATAGGCATGCATGCAACGGGCAGGCTTGTAAAACTTGAGTATTCAGTATTAGACATGTAATATAAATATATTTGCCTTATCGTTGTAGTAAGAGTGATTTTCTACTATGGCTGAAATTAAAAGCAAAAAAGGGAACGACGAAACCTCGTTTCAATTGGTTCTCAAAACAGACACACACACATCGCATTAACATTTGCATAATATTTTGTTTAAAGATAACTTTATTTTGTTACAAGTGTGCCGCGGAATATTTTTCATTCGCTAAGTGCGCCGTAAGCAAAAAGGGTTCGAGAACTACTGGTGTAGCTGCTTGGTTGTGGAATATACAAAGCAAAGTTGCTTTATTTGGCGGAGTATTGGCACTTTAGGTTTCGATCAGTTTCGAAAGCACTTTGTTAATTTGCGCACGTGTCCAAAATCCACGAATCGGCTGCGTGTTTTGTCCACATCGACCCCACAAAAAAGTGAACATTTTCGTATTGCAATATTACGTATTTAGACTTTTCATAGATAATTTCGACGTGTTCCGAGTATTCAAACACAAAACCACAACAAGTTTCAGCCTAATAAAAGGCACCAGAAAGATGTGATTCCGTACACGTTTTCCTATTTTACTCTCATGCTCTGTTTTACTTTAAAATCAATAATGGAGCAATCTGTAATATGTTAACATTGTACTAAAAATAATAAAGACACTGTTGGAATATACTAAATAATATTTAAAATTTATGTAGGGAGAAGCATCTTACCATCTTCGAATCTTACTATTTCCGAAGTATCATAAGCTTCCTTACAATCTACCACGTTTTATCAAGTCCGTCTATGTTTTGCCAGAGAACCGTTATGATTCTGATTTAAGAGGTTTTTACATTGTGGTTTTCTTACGATGTCGTGTGTTATCAAATCTTCCCAAGTTCCTCCGTTTTCCGGCGCATTGCCGGACTCGTTTGTATATTTTGGGGCCAATGTTCACCGGCAACGTCCAGTTCCCATTGAGGTAATTAAAATGATGCACCGTACTGATTTCGGAAGTTGCTCAACGTTTCTAGTTGTGGGGTCGCGAGTATCTGTGTGTTTGATTTTATGAAAATTGGGGTCGCGAAAAAAAAGGTTGGGAACCACTGGTCTAGTAAATATTACTTTACAGTATCCATCTGCAACAGGCATAAACGGTCGCAGGTTTGTCATGACAAATCGCAGCCTAGGTGCTCCGTGTGGCGCTTCTTTCACCGCCAAAGCGAAACAACGGTTAGATTCCTTAAGCTTAAGGGGTTACTCAAGGTAATCGGCATTAGGATTTTGTCATGAAATCTTTTCAATTTCCGCTAAGTGTCCAGATTTTGGAATAATCGAACATATTCAAATTTTTATTACACGAATGGTATATATTAACAGCAGAATACACGAAAATATCACGATATGCAGAATTTGAGGAAGTATTTTATTGAAAAGTGACTATATTAACTATAAAATAATAATACACTATTTTGTTCCAAAAAAAACAGTCGATATAATGTCTAGTGTTCATTTTGCAGCAGTCATTTTTACTCGAGCCTCGCATATAGTTTCTTTGTTTCGCATTGTCTTGAAGTAGAAGCTCCACATGTCTGCAGGATCTTTCCAGTAGAAAGTTTGAATGCGATCACCAAGCTTTGATTGCTTCAAATACAAAAACGAGCACGAGCGTACCTGGTAATCCCATATAGGCATGTTTCCAGGCAAATTGGTAACGCCATTCATGGTTGCATCTCTTGCAAGGCAGTCCAGATAGAAGTTTAAATACTTATGGTGGGGTACATAATCCAAAAAGGTTACGTCTTCCATTCCGACATGCTTAGCCACGCTGCCCTCTGGTGCAGTTTCCATTAAATTTCTTGTGAATATATCACTGTTTTTAGTGACGTTACTCCTTTCTTCAGCGAGCTCTCGAAGTTCTTGCGGCAGACTGGCGGGTATTCCAGTTGCTTTGTTGACGCAAACAGCCAATAGACGGTGAGTTGCCAAAATCTTATCTTCTTCGAGGTCTGTCACAAGTGAATCTGACACAAAAGATGTCTTTCCCATTGATGATAGCTTGTAAGTCATTTCAATAGCTTTATTAAGTCGCAAATAATATTGGAATCTATCCATCTTATCACATGCATACTTGAACTCTTTCGAAATATTCTGAAAGTGATCACTGAACTGCATCCTTTGACATTTTATCATTAAGACGTGATTTTTTGAAAACGACGGAGCTTTTTCCACGAGAGACTCTTTAATCAGGAGACTAGCAAGTCCGGGAATAAATAGAAACGAAGATGGATTGATGTACGCTGCAATAATAAATGTAGTTTAGTTTTCTGTTGATTTTAAATTTGAGTCTATTTTAAAACAACTATATTGACAATCATTTCAAAGTTATCATCCGAAAACCAATTGATATCGTTATGTAGTGGATTTTTTGAAGAAAGACAACCTACATTTTATCTTTGTGCAATAGATATAATAAAAAAACACACTTATTGCTGTAAAGCCTCAAACGACAGAACTTTTATCAAATGGGTTTTCATGCCACTTAAAATTTGCCAGCAATCTAGTCACTGTATCGTATTAAAATTAAGCACGACAACTTTCTTGAATTAATAAAAAGGCTTATAAATAGGCGTATATATCACTCAATATAAAGTTGAAAGTATAGTCAAATTAGAGCGCAAATATATATACGCAAATTTAAAAAAAATGGAATATATATATATATACATGAATACCCCAATCCTGGGAATCAGAACCCAAGTCACGCTATTATTCTCCACACGGTGTTAATGTTTTAGTGTAGTTATGACTGTTTTTTGTGAAAAAATATTTGAAAAAATATCAAACGTAAATATTTGAAGATTTATGACATATACGACCATTAAACGATGCGATTTTCCCCCGTCAATACGATTACAGATAAATATTTACATACCTTCTACAAGTAATTTAACGAACGCCCTTCTCGAAAAGAATAATCGTTCAATTTAATTTGAAAATGAACTTACCTCCTCCAATAAGGTTCCAAACGCTCAAGTTCTTTATCAAAACAGAGCCTGTAGCGCCCGCGATACGATACTCCATCGCGTCCAGGAAGCTTATGCAGACAATGAATCTGTGCACACAATTTGATAGCGATGTTCCGTAATATTTCGAATTGTGAAATTCATTTTTATTTATTAACACACACAGCGCGTGAAATCGCCATTATTGCCATCTCCGTTATTATAATTCTTTTTTTTTTTCAAACCGTGGCGCAGTAATACAGGTTTCTGAGTTTCCACGTGTTTTAGTGAAGAGATGGCGAAGCAAATGAAAGATCTTGAAAATTTAATTTAAGAAGATGTGATATCAACTGTCTCCGATAATCGACTAATGGCAAAATCAAATATTTATAATGAAAAATGCATGCAATAAACACCGTGTTTTTAATAAAGATATCCGCCATCAAACCCGACCGCTAGGCGCTTGGGAACGAAGTACTTGGAAAAAACTTTTCATATTTGATTCAATTTTCATCTCTCCTGTTTCCCAGCGTGGTTGAATGAAAACGGCATTTGGTGTTACCAATATATTTCATACTTCATTCAAGCATCTCATACATACTTTCAATTTGCGATACAAAAGTTCGGCATTCATAGCAAAATAGCACGCATTGAACAACTTTTAAAACAGAATAACAAGCATGTATCTGTTGTACCTAAGAGCTGTTTGCGATGGAAAAGACTTTCACACATAAACTGAATACCTTAATAAATCATTTATTGGGTTTTATCAAGTTTTTAAATTTGATCAAGGTATAATAGAAGATTGTGGTAATATAGGAGGTACTAATACAGATATGGCACCAAAAATTAAAACAGTAAACTTGGCAATTTAAATAATTAATAAAGACAAATTTAACTACTAATAATATTTTTTAAATGAAGGTTATTGTAATTCTACAAGGCAATAACCTATTTGAAACATTCCAATTTAATTAGTTGAATATAAAATAAGAGTACATGCAGGAAGAGAATGATTGGGTCTAATATAATTATAATCAATATTTGCTAAATCACAGAATACACAAAATTCTTTACAAATTTCTCTATTATCAGAGTTGATATATGATACGATATATATATACGATATATGATTAAGTTATATATATAATCAGAAAGGCAACCCCAAAATAATTTATAATATTTTGAATTTTACATGAATTATAAAACACTATTCATGTTTGGATAGCCTTATAGGCTATATCTTGGAAATATTTATCAAAATCACACAAATTACAGGTGAAGCTATTAGATAATCCACTGAGATATATATTTCTGGATATTACCAGGTATATCTGATTGGGTAGGGTGAACATTTGCCCTGTGGACTTGGGTTGGCATTTATTTTAGTGATTCCAGGTTAAAACGTGAGTCTATGAATAGACCCGCGAGGGTGAACAGGTAATAGTTAGGTATGACCAGCCAAAAATACTGTAGCACTTGTAATTAATTGTATAAATTATTGAAGTCTTGATTCAAGCCTCACACAAATAAAAAAATTAGTAAAAAAGCAATAAACTATGTTGGGTATCTGTCCCAGACAAGAATGGAGCATTATTCTACTTGTTGAAGAGATATGAAATCAAAGAATTGAAGAAATACATTTAAAGTACAGTGAATAAATACACTAGTTCATGAACCACTTCAAAATTGAAAATTAAGTTTTAGTAATGAATATCATAAACTAACAAATCAAAATGATATTGCACTGAAATTTATTGACTTAAATCTAAATTTTAAAAATTCCTTCAAGTTGTCTTGCTCTTATAATGTTCTTCAGGTAATTCTCTCAATTTTTTTGCTGCTAGTTCAGCTGTTATATCCCTCTGTGGTTGCGCAAGCATTTCATAGCCAACCATGAATTTTCGAACTGTAGCAGATCTTAACAATGGTGGATAGTAGTGAGCATGTAGCTGCCAGTGAGAGTTATCTTTATCCATCTCAAGTCCAGTCGGTGCACCGTGCCAACCCATGGAATATGGAAAAGAAGTTTCAAACAAATTATCATATTTTGTCAGTAGGGACTTCATTACTTCTGCTAGGGAAGACCGTTCCTTATCGGTTAGATCAGGTAACCGAAGCACATGTCTTTTCGGAATAAGCATCGCTTGATAGGGCCAAGTTGCCCAGTAGGGAACAATTGCCACCCAGTGCTCATTTTCTGAAATAATCCTCTCTTTGGACTCTGACTCACGCCTTGCATATTCAACCAGCATTTGATTTCCATGTTTACAATAGTAATTTTTCTGAGTTTTATCTTCAATTGCAGCTTCATTGGGTAGAAAGGAGCTTGCCCATATTTGGCAATGTGGATGAGGGTTGGAGCAACCCATGACTGATCCTTTGTTTTCGAAAACTTGCACCCAGGTATACTTTTCACCAAGCTCTTTTGATATATCAACCCATTTATTGATGACCTCAATTACATCATTATTGCTCATTTCTGGCAAGGTAACATTTGAATGAGGGTGGAAGCACATTACTTTGCATTCACCAGATACAGGAGACATCTTAAACAAAGGGTCATTATTCTCTTCTGTGGAAAAAACTTCAGGTTGTAGAGCAGGAAAATCATTATAGAAAACATAAGTCCCTGAATATTTTGGATTTAGTTTACCATTCGATCTTATGTTGCCAGGACACAGTGGATTTTTAGGGTCGTATTCAGGAATTTCATTTAAAATTGGTTTTTCGACTTGTCCAGTCCATGGCCTCTTAAGACGATGTGGAGACACCAAAACCCATTCATCTTTCAGTGGATTATATCGAATATGTTGATGGTCATTAGGATTAAAAACAGACATAGCTCAAATATTTTTGTAATACATTGACTGCCATATACAAAATTTAGTAAAACACATTTAGCTATACCCTTTATAAGTACCGGTATAAGTTTATTTCGATTCACACTGCGACCTGTCTGTCAACTAGTCAAACGACCAATCATTGCAGAATTGAGAACTGAGAAGCATAACAATCAGATCAACGAGGATGCAGCAACTAATAAAGTCATTTTTGTGACATTGTGTACAACAAGTTATAGGTACGGTATGCTTTGGTTCACACCTAGCACATCGCTTTGCAGTTGTTCACCTCAATTAAATTATTGTTTTGCTTTAAACGTGTCTGTTGTAAACAGATCCATGATTTATGTTTTGGTAATTGGTTACACAATCAGGGTTGCCAGACCCCAGCAATCAAAAAAAGCCAACAAGACATAAAAAAAAGCCAGAAAAAGCCAATGATTTGTCAGATTTTAAGCCCTTGGCAACGTACTGATGATGATATAGAGCTATTAGTTGAATCAGTGAGGCACATGTAGAAAGTAAAGTTTCTATAGCCTAGCACTGTAGAAATTAAATATCGAGCGGACAGCATTATTTTACCATTCAATATATACAATACAGAGTGCCGCATCAGAATATGATATACCTACATGTTTCTACTTAATATATATATGATGATATACCTTATGATATACCTTAAAAATTTCTCCCTATATCGTACTTTACTATTGAATATTTTTTACTTTTAAAATTTATAAATCATCAATTTTAGGATAGGATTTACATATTTATCCCGGGGAGAGGAAAGCCGATAAGACATCTTATCCATGTGGCGAACCACAGCCTCTCGTCCGGTTATCATTCCAAGTCGGGTATGGGATTAATTTTACTGTATTGTTTGTTTTCGGAAGCCTGGACTTGGTGGTGGAGGAAGCCGTAACCGACCAGCGGTTACGTGAACCACCCAACGACGGCGAGGAGTCCAGCAATCCTCTCGCACATATCCATCATTGCATGGGATTCGAACCAGCGAGCCCACGCAGAGTAATTAGAGGTGCGGTGGCGAGCGTATTTCTAACGCTTAGCCCGTTGAGCCACACCGCCGCGCCAAAAAAAATTATCTAACCCCCTGCCGCTCACAGGTGGACCACTGATATCTTATTCAGTAATTTTAGCGTAGTTAATCACATCGTTATTGCAATTGCAGAATTAAACTAAAGCTCACATAAACCATATCAGGCATAATGAAAATTAAGTTATATAACTATTTTTTGGAAACGGAACGAAAACTATAAAAACGAGGCAATGTTTAAAACCCTGCTTGAACATCTGTCTGAGCAGCTGCAGAAACTGTAATTATTTATTATTGGGTATGGTTAAGAGTTAATGTAACAAACAAGGAAATCGATGCTCCAGGAAATCCTAATGTTAAGTACCGGTAGCTAAGTAGATAGATAGATAGATAGTTTATTTCGAAAACTCCATAACAAACCTAAATTTAAAATGGAGAATTCTGGAGGGCAAGCAAAACCTACAAAAAATTTTAAAACATGAAGTATCTCATGTGCCTGCCCACCAGCACGCACACAAAAACACAAGCCCAATTAAATGAGGCTTGGGCCAAACTTAAAAAACAAAATACACGATAGTAATAAACTTCCGGGCTGTTGTACTCTCTTTCAACAATTACGTTTATAATGACCAATACCTACAACCTCATGCAAAGATAATGTGGGGAGTGGAAATTTAGGGATGGGCAATGTAGAATAATTTACTATTCTAGAATATTCTAGAATAGTTAAATCGAATCCAGAATACCGAATCCTATTCTATTTTCATACTTATTCAAATAGTGGGAATTTCTACATTGCTGGATTTAGATGGTAAAAAATTGCAAATGTATTACTTACTATAAATGTATTATCTATTTGGAAATGTCCTGAACATTGGATTTCATTTGATACTAAACAGGCAGTTCCCAAGACAATAAAATTTAGGAATATTACAATATTTTTTGCCTTCAATTGTTCCAAATGTATGCAATCCCTAAATACTAATAAATACAGATATGATGAATAAAGACACGCTTAACACACTTTAATAGTAAGCGGTTAAATACAAAATAGACATGAAACGGCGTTAAATCATTATTAATGCACATTAAGTCTGCCGAGTATACTACAACATACCCGCTGAGAATTAATTAGATGCTGAACCAGCGTGTGGCCACTGCAACCTATGCGCCGTTGTAAAATATTAAATTTAACCACTATCAATTAAAATCAACCTTTTATTCTGTGAGAGCAAGACACGTAAAACCAAGTTCCCGTAAACGCGATTTCGTACTTAGTTATTAGGTAATAACATCTGAGGACGAACTCATTTTCTATGATTATCGTTACATATCATTATCTACCTAGACTTGGCCCTACTCAAAATCAATACGTTACTATCTTCGCCAGATGCGGCAACTTTTTTCAAAATTCATCGGCGACTAAAATACTACAGACTTCCGATCAAACGTGCGTCTATCTTGAACGATAGAAATGTTATCATTAATCATTATTTACCCAGACTTAGCCCTACTCAAATTCAATACGTCACTATCTTCGCCAGATGCGGCAACTTTTTTCAAAATTTATCAGCGACTAAAATACTACAGACACTCGATCAAACGTGCGTCTATTTTGAACGATAGGAATGTTATCATTAATCATTATCTACCCAGACTTAGCCCTACTCAAATTCAATACGTCACTATCTTCGCCAGATGCGGCAACTTTTTTCAAAATTTATCGGCGACTAAAATACTACAGACACTCGATCAAACGTGCGTCTATCTTGAAAGATAGAAACGGACCGAAAAATATGTAATCTTTTGAGAGTGAAATTTAAATGTGACAGTAGTTCGCGTTTTGCGATATAACTTTGTATTTCGGAAAATGGTATAATAAAATTATTCGTAAATAATATTTGATTTAAAATAATGGCGAGTAATGTTATAACATTTAACGCCTGGCTTTCGGTTTACGTGCATCATTTTTTTGAAAAAACTCGTAGGTCGCGAAAAATCATTTAATTTAAAATGAGGCAAGGCACGTCTGTAAACAATTAAAGATTGTTGCATTCAGATTATCGGAATATCTCCAGTAAGTCGGCACAAATAACGCTAGCTAGATAGCAAAGAAGGAAAACGCAAAAATGGTGCAATAACGAGTCCTCGTCGTGAGGTTATATTACCGACTTCTTGTCCTGAATATGCCGATTGAAATTACAGTGTTTGATGTTTACCGATTTACGGGTTCTTTGCGAGCAGACGCAAGTTTAATTAAACGAGAGAGATTTCCACGCGAGAAAAACGCTCGTCTATAATTGATAAATTAGAAACCCGAAATACAAACATCGACTCTTGGCGCCGGAGAGGCGGAAACCGAATCCTGTTATCGGATCCCGTTGGATTCGAATACTTTGGGATTCGAATCCTCCGGATTCGGTATTCTATATTGCCCATCCCTAAGTGGAATGTAATAAATTTGCAACGATAGTCATACTCATGAAGCCATGAAAGCTTTTAGAAAAACCAAGCCATGAAAAACTACACTGATTGCTAGATTGGGCATTGCGGAAAAGGTGATAAGTGGTTTAATATACAAACAAACGCAAAACCATGGCGGCAAATTCGGTGTGCGGACACTCATAAAAGCAATTATTAGGAAAAACACTAATCACACGTGAGCAGGTCTGTAGCCTAATTGATACATTGACGTGGCCAACATTGTTAAAACAGTACCGGTATACACACAGAGAGAACAAATCAAAAATATGCCACTAAATGAATGTTTAAAAATGTTACACTGTAAGTTACACTGCAAACTATTTACACATATATAGTTGAATACTCAGTATTCAAGCGGAATTTCGAGAAATAGCAGTATATCATACTCTTTGTCACAAAATAAAATATCTGAATACAAGTAATACAGTAATAGGCTATTGTTCAGCTGTTACACACTAAATATTGTATTTCATATGATTCTAATAATAGACACTAGAATAGACTTAAAAAACGCCAAAAAGCCAAACGGATATTCTGACGCCAAACGCGTTTGAAAAAAGCCAAAAATGGCAAATTTGGCGTTAAAAAAGCCAATATGGCAACCCTGTACACAACGTTATGCGCCCTCAGCCGATGAATGTTCCCGTTTTTTAGTTTTTTTTTTCGTTATTTATGCGCGTGTTATATAGGTTATATGTGGGAGAGAGATTTGTTGTCACAAACAATATCAACACTATAATACATTTGCAGCAACACAAAATAAAATTTAACAATAAACAACTGGTTGATCATTATTTGTGAGGGTCAATATGCAAGACCAGTTAGGTCACCGAGGCTCCTGGGGGCTGGCCCTTGCTGTATAATGTATATGGACCTTTCCCCGATCTTTGACCCCCGAGAAATTCTATCTAAACTTCACAATAATTTTCGGGGTTATTTTAAGAGTGCTTTTGCGAGTTGGCGCCTGTAAAATGGGGTATGTGTTTTCAAACCATCATTTTGATTCAACGCATACAACAATCTGTTTTTTAAAAGTACCGGTAAAGAATTTTAGCCTAGTCTATCCACTGCTATTTCTACACTAATTTTTTATTACTGCAATTAAACTAAAACTCATAGAAAGACAGAATGATCATTGAATTATCTGATTTATATTTAAGTTTCTGAAACACTACTGAAAACTAAAGAATAAATTTTTTTTTTTTTTTTTAAACGCTCACAAATGTGTTAAATGTGATACAGTAATAATCATAGAAATAATGGGAAATAAAATTTTTACAATCATTATTATCTCAAATTGTAATCCATATTATCCGACGTAGTTTCCATTTTTCAGTATTCCAATGTTCAATAATCCATGTATAATCCGTAATATCAATTCAGTGATATCAAGATGTTTTCAAGTTAATAATACATTAGTTAAGCATTATTTGTTATACATAAAAATAGAAAAAAAAATATTAGCAACTATACATTTACTCAAAATATAATCACAGACAGTTGGTTAAAAATTCTAATTCCTTTATGAAATTTGGTAATTTTCGAACTTTTTCTATATTTCTCCGACATGTTATTGAAGTTTGTATATGTTTTATGACTGTTTGAACGTTAGGTATCTTTTTTTGAAATATAACAGCATTTCTTTCTAACCAGATCTTATATCTTGTTATTGATATAAGTAATACTATAATGTTTTCATGAAAATCTGAAAAAAATACACTGTTCATTTGGGAAAAATCTAATAAAATGCAGGTCAAATAGTCTTCTCTTAAATTACTAATTTTCCTAATAACAGAAAAAATATAATCATATATATGTTGAGTGAATTCACATCTCAAAAATAAATGTGATATAAATTCTGGTTCTTTGCCACAGAGGGCACACAAATCATTTCCAGAAATCCACTTTATTCTTGCATGGGTTTTTAAAGGTAAAATTTCCCACATAAGAATAAATTTCGAAAACGCGAAAATGAGGGAATGTTTACGACCACGCTTGAAAACTTGTCTGAGTGAGAAAAGTGTCCGAGCGGATGCGAAACGGGAGCATTGCACGTCACTTTTTGCATCTTGCTAATTGGCCAATGGCCAATGCCACGAAGTAAACAAGAAAGTCGATGCTCGGGGAAAGTCCATGAGGAATCAATAAGACATAGCATCAGCAATGAAATACGGATCAAAATATATGAATGGGCATTTACTTATTTCAGTATTTATTGGCGCTCACCATATTCCTATTTCTGCGCGTTTTGAATCTTATCAGTGGTTTCGCCAGCGATTTTCTGTGAGTTGTTATATTTTGTGTTTGTTTTTCTGGGAATTACAAAATGATCTTATTCTTATCATTATAAAAACTATGGATTAACCACTAGTGTCTACTGTCTATTATGTGACACGGCCACTGGCATGACTTCACTACCACGCCACGATAAGGTATTACCTAATGCCATGCCTTTAAATGCTATGCTAACTATGCTAATGAATTTTGGCTTCAAGACGTTCGAATGTTGTTCTATACCTAAATATTTACGGCCTACAGGTCTAGCGTTACGGTCTTTCTCATGCGCATGGTGTACAATAAAAACGGAACTGTAACCTGGTACCGGTATAATTCGCCTGCTATTCAGGAATACAATGGCTGCGGCTCAGCAGACTGTCGGTGGATCAAGTGATGTCCAAGTCCAAAGTTCATTTCCTTTGCCACCCAAGATGGTAAGATACGGTAAAGTTTTCATTAATAAGTAAAATAAAATCATGTTATATTGCGCAAAGTTCACACTGTATTATAAAAATTTTATTATGTTTTTTTTCATCAAAATAGACCGTTCTCCAGTTCTCATTGAGAATATTTTAGCCTGTTTTGTATATAGCTATAAGTCTATGCATCCCAAACAAATAACTGGCCAACTAAACATATACCCGACATGGACTGGTGCGGTACCGGTAACCGGACGAGAGGCTGTGGTTTACCATATGATTGAGCCAACTTTCCTCTCTGAGGATGTATTTTATTTTTTGAATTCTCCTATTCCTATCTTGTTTAGTTTTGAAATTGCAAATAATTCCTCATGCATAAATTTCAGTTCATAAGCAAGTATACGGATGAGGCTGTTCAGAGGGATATTGCTCCTAAGCCTCCAGCTCTGCCTGATGGTTCTTACATGATGTTTGGACAACAATGTCATCAAGATGACCTGATCATCAGACCTTTGGAAATGCAGGTGCTAATTTTTATTATTCGAAAAGCTGAAAAGCTAGTTCAATACCTGAATACGGGAGTAGCATAATTAATATTCATACGATTATCATGGTGTTATCTATATTAAACATGCGACAACATTTGAAACCTCTAGTTCTTATGGTTGGGGCATGCTTTTTCTTCAGGTCTAATATCTCGATGCTCCATCTCAAAAAACTGCCTGGAAATAAAGGTAGTTCTTATATTTATATCATATAGCCTATATTTTATTTTCACATTAGTAACTTATTTTCTTTTTTTTTGCGTGTCATCAACGGAAAAAATGATAATCCATATGAGCCATTTTCATACAAAAAATAATTGATAATTCCATATGATAAATTATTTAGAAAAATTGCTCATTATTCTTGAAATTTGAAAGTGCATTGGTTGTCCACAGTATTGGAGAAACACCTGTTTAAGTTATATTGCTGGCTTACAATATTACAACTCTCAGGGTTAAATGATATTTCTGCACAAACTTTGCCTCTACACATTTTAATGACTATCTAAACAAGATATGGAATAACATTATAGTTATGTTTTCAGGGACTTCAACGGCTCCATCCACCTGTATATGACAGAAGAAAGGAATTGAAGAAACTCACTGTTTCTATACTCTGCAATTTTTTAGATTTGTTGGATGTTCTTGTTAGTGCTACAGAATCTGAAGCACGCGATAAGAAGATAGAAGATTTGAACATGCTTTTTATACACATACATCACCTAATAAATGAATTTCGGTACTACATATATTGTTTTTGTTATTGCATCTGCATCACAAACTTATTGGTTATTCATAGTAGTGATAAGACTAGTAATGAGAAACTGTACAAATTTGACTACAGTAACATGACTAAGTTATTTCTTTTTTGATTACAGTCCTCACCAAGCTCGCGAAACTCTTAAAGTTATGATGGAAATGCAACAAGCACAAATGCTAGACGTTGGCGAAAGGTTATGGAAACATATTGAAAAAGCTGGTGATATATTGTCAGAGTCTAGTAGTCAACTTGCGACAATGCAAGCAGAGGTATGTGGTGTTTCATATAATGCCGCATGCCATGACTTGTCTTTTTTTCATGCGCCCATTTGACCATTTCTCAAAAACTTCAATGAATGGAGTGTTGCATTTTGCTCAAGGTCAACAATTTCCCATATACGGTTAACAGTTTTTTATTTCATTCAGAATCAGTCTGCAGTTGAAGCCATTGAGCTAATGCGAAACCAGGTAAGGAAATATTTCATATTGATTATTTTCTATTCTATTTCTCAGTTCACTATTCTGCCATAATTATCGTATTTCAAAGTTTCTGAGTTTTTAATAATTGTATTTTAATAAATACAAACTTTTGTGATTTCATACATTATGATGCTATTTGAGTTTTGAACTTGTCTAGATACTCAAGCTCCCAGTTCGCGTCCTTATTTACCTTATTTTTTTTTCAGGAACCTATGAATGTTGATTCCATGCTTACTGATTTATCTAGTACTGATTTATCAACATCAATATCTCAGAATGCCCAGGGTAAAAACAGTATGGACACAGAAACATCTGATATTGTGAAGGACATATTCAAAAAGGATAAAATTTTAAGCGGCTTTATCAATGACATGAATGACTGATAGCAAGATATTTACCTGGCACTAGCAATATGACAGCCCTACCCAGTTTGCAGGGTTGCTATAAGAAATGATTTGTCTGTTGGGTTTCATCGTGCGATTTCTGGAATTATGTACTCTCAATTGTGAGACTGTTAAGAAGCTATCACCTATTTGTTGCTAGCCAGACTAGAACCTGCAGCTACTTGATCATTCATGGAATTGAAATACTACGTACACTCAGATAATCTCTTAGGCATATATTTTATGTGTTCACTATACATGTATATTCTATTGTGGTCTATGCGCATTTGCAACAGATATCATGTGGCAGCATGCATAAATAGTAATTTTCTACAACAAAGAAAGTTTTCTAAACCACCTGGTAAACGAGTTAGTATTATGTTATAAAGCAGTAAATAAATTACGGTAAATGCTTGCTGCATTTGTGCTTCTTTTGTGAGCCAGTACATAGATCTATCCCGAGGGCAGCCGTTTTGTTGCCAAAAATATTTCGCGATTGTTTTATCATAAGCGGAAAGCATCCTTCTGTAGATAGACCAAGCTTGGGCGGTTTCGACGTGTGCGGTTCTGCGAAGCCTCTCGGTCTTGGTAAAGTTCAGGGTCCTATATGCTCGGCGGTCACAGCTGATGTCTTTGGTTTGCGTGCCGTCTCCATGTACCGAATGTGTTGTTTGATGGATGGGCGTATCGTAGAGCTGGTGACTAGTAGCAAGTTGTATATTTAGACAATGGCTAATGCAGGCTGGACAAATGGAAGTGGATTTTTTGGGATTTTATAAAGTCAGTAAAATGGGTGAGATTGCCTACACTTCTACTTGGTCAAAAGCGTCCAAGTACGAGTATGATTATTACGTGGAACTTTAATTCGTTACATTTATTGATGAAAATAAATATAGAAATCACTGGTGTTCATGATGGTGAGGTCCTTCCCACTTGGGGAGCCACTTTGGTCCAGTTTGTGAACTTGTACTTCCCGGTCTACTTCCGCGAGTCATGGTTGTTTTCGCAGCATCTTTGGAAATATAACAACGGTGTCAGAGTTTTAACGTTTCATAAGCATAATTTTATTTCGACTACATAATCAGCATGAAGGATGATAAAATACGATAATTGATTATAAAATCAGGAGCACAGTATATCAAAATTCTACGAGATACCTTGTCACGATTCTTATTGTGAAGGCGACTTATTTTATTTATACAATTACTCCAGTGTGATAAAAATTTGAAATATAAATTATAGCTTAATACATCGGATAATTTTTGATTGAATATAATGATAGGATTATACTGTTGTCACTTACCGGTCCTTGCGTAACGTAGAAACTGATCCATTACTTTCTTGTTAGTCTGATTATTGAGAAGTTTTTCTAGATCAGGTTGACTGTATCTGTTGCGAAATTCTGTGTCATAGGTCGTCTTTCCCTTAATCACTTCTTGGTTTTTGACATGATTTGATGTTACAGTTGGAACTAGAATACATATAAATTATCAACGAACCTACTCAAGTCAATCAGTAGACGAGTGTGGATTTTAGCACCAAAAATATTCGATTGTTATGAGAAGTGATTTATTCACATGGCTTGAGATTGTTGACAGAACTTTTGCCGATCAAGGGTCGGATATCGAATACAAGAAAAAAAAAATTCTCACAGAAAGTCAAGCATCTGTAACACTTACCTGCTCCCAATGCAGCCACTCCCTTTTTCTTGTTGCATCCGTATCTTGTTGTGTTTCCAACAAGTTCAACATGCTGCTGCGGGCGCATGTAAGAGTATCGTACGGTCGTGTCCAGAGGACGCCGTACCTTTGCTCTCCAGTCTGCTGGGGCATCTATGGCAGTTTTGACGTGGTATCCTGACATACAATAAACATATACATACAAATGTATATAGGCCTATCGTATTTGCGCAATATAAGTGGTGATTTAATATTATGTATTTATAAACATGATCAGAAGCGTGGGGGGTCTCGGTCTTTTCTACGCAATCGATCCTAGTTTTCAGTACTCAAAGATGCAAGAAAACGTTAGAATGCCATGACTTTTATTGTACTAATTTCCCCTAAGCCCTATGTGACTCCATATCTTACCCGAAATTTAAATTGGGCCGCCAAGTCAGAGGCGTAGCCAGAATATTTCGCGCACGGGGCAAACTATATAATTGGCGCCACAACCTCCACGTTTAATCATATTTTCTATTACATTTAATTGTATATGTAAAAACAATTCAAATTTTAATGGAACATTGTATTTAAAGAAGAAGCAAAGCTATACAAAATATAGCATATGTCCATAATGCCCCACTCAGTTACTGTCAAAGATGATTTACATAGTCTACAATAAATTTATTTTTCTTGATTTCACTGTCGCAAACTGGTTAAACACGTCATCAAAATAACAATATAATCCGGCCCGCGACGCTTATATTCTTTACGTAACAGAATTTGTTTTGAGACACTAAATTATATTATAATCTGGCAAGTATATAATTCACAATCACTTGTTTAAATTGATTATAAATAGACCAATGGCAACAGAACGTAAAAAAGTTGATGCTGAGTGCAAACGCTTTAATGGCGCAGAAAATGATCAGTCTTCGCGCGCTGCTTGAAATTTAACTGAAATCTGTGTGAACAAATGTGATTCATTGACCATTCCCTCGGTTTTTAACTTTCTAAAAATATATGCGGCCCGCCCATGACTTGCAACCTTTAATTTTGGCCCACGAACGACAAAAGTTTGCCGACGCCTGAATTAGAACATCACCGAGACGATCCTGTACCATTGATGCACGCGAATACGACAAAATGAGTTTCAATTTGTTGAAAGACCGTTCACAGCTTGCAATTGAAACTGGTATTGTTAAGAAAATTTGTAGAGAAATTCGCAGATTCGGGAAATAGTCGTCTCCAAAAGACACAATCAAACCAAGAAGAGCCAAAGGGGTTTCTGGTTGACACCGATGCATCAAACTGAGTTGTTGCGATGCTGTTGCAAGTTGTGGTCATTATAAATATTAGGCCCAGGGCTTAGTAAGCCATACTTTTCACGAATGCCGTTGCCAGGCGGGAACTGAACAATCCCTTGCCACTAAAAGTTAGGTCTGCGTCGTGGGCTACCTGGAAACGTTTAGCAGCTTACCACGTATTACTCAAAACATGTATTACCAGCTCTTCGCTGTTTAACATAATTCAACCAAATTCCGTTGCTTTTCGTCTCCAGCACAGAACTAATATCAACTTACATCGGAGTGCGCAGGCAAGAACTTATCGATACAGAACCACGTAATTAACCCCGTGCATTTTGTTACCTAACGTTACCAAATCAATTTTTGCTTTGTTTCCCGGTCAGCTTTTTTGACCATGTAATTATTGTATTATTGGACACAATAACAGATATATACCTGTCTAGATCGCATGGGCATAGGGCATAGGATATCGCTACTGTCGAGATGCGATTAACTTTTTGATCTTCGTATCCATATATTTTAGCATTGCACTCTTGTTAATCATGAATACAAGCATCCATGATGAGAAAAGTCATTAGCCTACATGCCATGCTCAACAACAATGTGCGGATGGAATAATTGCGAAAACTCGTAAAACCTGCTAGCGACACCTGTGACTTATACGACATGTCGGGAGTGAGAGATAATGAATATTTAAATTATTACAAAGCTACAATGAAACTTTATGGCATTAAGGAACAGCTTTTCAAAAATTATTAAGTACCTTGTGGAATTCCTAAGTAGTCGCATTGATATGTTGATTTGTGCTGGTCTCTCAAAATCTGATCTAAAACTTTATTAGTCAGCTCTCGGTATTGCAAATGTGGTGCCGTAGCGGTTATCATTCCTTTGGCAGATTGCTTGTTCGGCAGTTTCCATACCATAAATGACTAAAAAATATAAGAATTGATATATATATATATACAGTATAATATAATAATATATATAATGTGAGAGAATAAAATCATCCTGTAAATTTATGGGATATATATATATATCAATTAATATGAGCGAAAATTATGATTTTGGCAAGCACCATCATTTCTACGCTCGTATGTCAATTTCCGTTTAAACTGAGCTTATTCTATGATGTTCCGCACCACAAACCTTGTTTGATTGGATGGGATTCTGCTTTGGTATGCGATCTCAGGAGCTATATTCAAAGCTTGTAGTAAAATAAAATCCAATGATACGTTTTTGGTTAAAATAGGTATGACTACTCAGATCGATAACCACGGCACCGTCTCTTAGTGGTAGAATGATTCTAAGTAGAGTGAATGTTTATTGGTGAAGCCGGGTTATCGTCTTCTCGGTTTTGGTTCGAATGGAATAATAAGCACTTGAGTCATTTTAGACACCTTCTCCTAAGTTAAGAATCTTTTGTAGATAAGAGAAGAAGATATAGTGAAACTTAGAGAGATTAAGTGCTGCGTAATCTGGCAACCAAGGTACATGTAATAATTATAAGACACATTTGAGCTCTGCAATGCAAAATGGAAAACGCGGGAAAGTTGGGAACTGCACCAACTTTCATAGCTTGCCGTCGCATGCAAGTCTCAACTATTCACAGGTGCGCCTGCTCATGTTGCAATGTTTGTTCTAACTGCAGCCTTATTTGAGGAGAATTCAACGTTTAATTCATACAACGAACTGAATTCAGAAACGAATTAAAGGTATGTAGAATATTATGATTTCGAGAAATTGCTCTTAAATGTACATTGTTGAATGTACATCATTACTATAAGTTACCGCTATTTTGAGCTTGAAAAAATAGCCTATAGGCTAAAAAGTTGCGTATTAGCATACACCAGCTTTTTTTGGAAATACGAATTATTCTGTTTGTAATGCCTTCCCACCCAGAGCGGTCAATTTGTGATAATCCAGATTTAAATCACACAGATCATTTCAAAATGTTAATATAACCATATTAACACCAACTCTTATTTCACGGATCTTATGTACGTGCATGTGTCGGCGCTCCAGAAGTGTGTGTACCAATATGGAGGTAACTAATTTTGTTCACCTACTTTATATCAAGTTGTGTAAAGGGACGAAAGCCTATGGACAGAAGGTATATCCACTTGGCTAACACAGACAGACCCCGAACGCGTAATATGCCTAAAATAAGAAAAATCGGAATAATATTATGGCCTAACCTGGTGTACACTACGGGAGTACCCATGCGTCTGGCATCGGCGTCGCAGAAAACATCATATGCGCCCATTGTGATTTGTTGGCCTGAAGTACCCGTTGAGTTATTCGTGCAAAAGCCAGCATATGTGACATTCACACATAATAAATCGCACTAGTAATGGCGGTGTTTGATTGATATATGGCACCATGGCGAGGTTTATGCATATGTGTCACTCTGCGGTTTAGAGCGATTAGTATACGTTCGTTTTAAGTACCGGATTTGTACTCGACGTCGGCGCGTTAATCGTCATCACAGACGTTCTTCTTTTGTTTGAATGGATTAGAACGTTCTATTTCGCTCGTTGGTGCGAGAATGTAATTAAAACTGCATCTTGCGTGCCTTATAAAAGGAAAGATTATTGCACAGAGTTCACTCGTTGTATTTGTAGTAGGACTGTTGCAGTGACCCTTTCCGCCACACCCCTTGTGGGTGCAGATCAGGCATTATGCGTATTAGCGTAGTCATTCTATGTTAACTCGATAAAGCAGACAAAGAATCAATGGAGAACATGGTGTTGAGATTCATCAGAAAAGTAAGTTTGGTTGCATGTTTTTTTTTATTTCATTTTAACTGCTCATTAGAGACAATGACTAAACAAATCTCATTCAATGATATTCAGCAACTCAAATTCTGTTTCAATCATCACAAATCTCTGACTGATAGGACAAGTAGACGCGGAACGGCGATAATGTCTTGAAGTATGAGAGGTCGATAGCAGTTCAGAATTGAAAAACCAGATCGCACCACGTCATCGTGATAATTTTTAAGTAAATTATAAATGGCGGCCAAGATAGCAAAGAAATCGGAATTTCGGCACCATGCTTGATGGTTAGTGACGAATCAATTAAAGCAAGCAGAAAATCACGACACGTAGATGGCAGTTGACTTATGATGACTGACATAAACGTACCAGATTACTCGGAGATTGTTTTTGGTTGGTCGGTTCATCATCAAATAAGGAACAGTAAATTTTGCAATCAGTAATCACTTTCAATCCAATATTGTTGGCACACACAAGAAGGCAGGTTTTGCGAATCCAGCTCTAAATGTATGTAACAAAATTTATTACTGACCTCGTGGGGATGCGGATTGTTTCGTCTATTGCCAGAGGAAGTCCCAGAACGTATAGGTTCATTTTTCGTGGCTTTTTTCCATCCAAATTCTTGGGTGCAAGTTGTGCCACCAATTGGACCAGATAACTCATATGGTGCTGTGAATCCCTTGCTGGACATAGGACGTTTGGCCTCGGCGCACAGGCCACTGGAATATCCGGGGAATTCTCTCTCGTGTGTGGTCAAATATGGATGGTCATATCTTTTTCCACCTGTAAATTTATTATATCGAGTAGTATTTAGTATATTAATTCAAATGTTTAACATATTTAGTTCGTAACTGTCTAGTATTTTCAACCTGTCAGTATTAAAAACTCAGCATTTCGATTCTAAAACTGACAGGTGGATTAAACAAAGAATTTAATCATTTATATAGAAGTCTTTGAACATAGCCACAGTTATAATATATTTTTCAAAATCTGTTCCAGTGATATAAATTATAGGAGTCGTTCGAAATAGGCATAATTAACATTTTGGTTTATACATGTAGAAAGTATCTCACCGATAGCTGCCATGGCAGATTTTGGTCTATGGTCACTATGTTGCTGATTATTTGCTAAATTTGTTGTCTTTGGTCGTGATAATCTATGGATCGATTCCTTTTGTTTCTGATAACTTGATTTTTCCTTTAGGTCGTTTTTTAAATTTGGTTCCTCATCAGTTTTAGAAAATTCCCTAAGTGATTTCTTTTCTTGAAATGCTGACTTGGGTCGGCCAACGTGGGTCGCAAAGCCTACTCTATTTGCTGGCACTTTTGCAGATGATGGTCTTTTTGAAGTCACCCGCTCACCGCCTGTTGCAGATCCGCAGGTTGGCTGAAAGCTCGCTTTGGCTTTATTGACCTCTTCTCCCTTCAGTTCGATTTGAGCCAAAAGTCGAAGACAATGCTCTTTATCCTTCGGGTTTACTGTACGTTTGTAAAACCACTTGAGGGTATCTGAAAACTGAGGCTGTACGTTTCCTCCAGTTTCTCCGTGGAGCTGAAATTGAAATTTGTGATATTGTTCACCCATTGTGACGTCACAGACTTAAATGTCAATCATGTTTTAACAAACTGAATAATCTCAGCGATACGAGTTGAAAAAATAAAACCACAAAAAAAGAGATAAAACTGGTGGGATTTGTTCCAAATTTTAAACCACGCAAAACGAAATAATCTTCGATACTGAATGTCGTAGAATAAACAATGGACAAATCCCATCCGAAATATTTTTTTTAATTACAAGAAACGCCAATTCATAATTCGAATATGTTGTTACAAGTAACGCATTTTTTGAAGTAAATAAGCCATCAATGTCAATTGATAGTACAAGTTACTTACCTTTGGGGCGCCATATTCCCATGCCTTTATGGGTTCGGGCTCGCCCCAAACGCCCCAAGCTGTTTCAGGTACTCCAGGCATGTGTACAGTTGTAAAGTTTTTTTTTAATTTTGCTGTATATTCATAAATGAATTTTCAATACATACACCGCCTCATCATAATTAAATGATCGTGCTGCATAACCGAAAACTACCTCAATATATTATGTCTAGCCTAATGTGATTATTTTTAATAAATGAAAAGTTATGCGGGGTCTTGTGTTTAATTCCGATCAACGAACGGCATTTTGTGTTGGAAATAGGATATTCTCACATTCCCGTTTGAAATTACATTATAGCTGAGGGAGGTATAATGACACTTCACGTGGTAAGTTCACGTGGGTGTTCTATTAGTATTAGTTTGACGAGTATTTCAGATTTCATGTACAGTCACTCGAAGTCGGACTATTGAAATAACATCCATGTCCACTATGCGTGCGAAGATCATTAAAGTGTAGTCAGGTTTTCGTGCTGGAGCATAGAGTCGAGCGTGGCATTTGTAATCACATCATACAAAAGATCGCCAATGTTCTGATAATGGTAGTGTTTTGTGCGTCTCTCCTTTAATAAATATAAATCGCGTTAGATATACGAAAATCATCAATCTCTCGTCATAATATTTTCTCTCACGGAGACCATTGTTTCGAGTTTTGCCTACGTCTGCAACATGCATCTTAGGAACTTGCGGCGCCTGTTACTTTTAACTGAGCTCTCCCGGCAACCTCAGCTTTTTGTAAGTCATAAAAAATGTAAGTAAGGTTGGCTTAGCCCCTAAAAAACTATTAGGTTAGTCAGAATTGGCACAGAATTGTTACTGACAAATCTGGCTGTTGCGCGCGCGTTCAAAATACGCAATATAATCTGCTTCAACTATGCCACTTCGATCGAAATAATATATAGCGACCAACATCAAATTCCTAATTTTTTTCTTAGGATTTACCAATAGACAGATGTATTGCAAATTGACGTAATACGAAACGGTATATTATATACAATTAAACAAGTCGAGACGTAATGACATTGTCATTGCAGTGTGCACCTAAAACTCAAACGGTTAACTGCTTTTATATGCGAGGTAATTTTGGGGATTTTATGGTCTCACTGTATCATTTATATATAATAGTAACAATCATTGCATACACATAGAAACATTTGTATATATTACTTATGCCGCGTGGCTCACGAAAAAAATTAGAAGTTATCCCTCGATCTGTGTGTACACAGAGAATGTATTTACTTTGTTCCACACAATCGTTGCCAGGTTACGCGAGCACAACCTATTGTCATTTCGGTCGTAACTCATTCGTGATAGTAATGGTTCCAATAAGTGGCTAGCTATAATACACCTGCTTTGCGAATTATTAATTATATATATCTACACTTACAAATATATTACAATGAGGCCTGAGTTTTAGACCCATTTTTTCTGGAATTGAACTATTTAAAACACCAAATCGGATTCTCTCTCATATGTAGATCGTATACAACTTTGTATATATTTTGGAATAAATTTGGAAATAATTGGATACGTATTCAGAATTTATTACTACACTTACTCACAAATATATTACAGTAGATATATAGTAGAAATTGGCACTATCAATCAGTCCCCTTTAAAACGCGGAACATAAAAGATGTTGATATTTCGGGCTGGAATAGTTGTTAGATGATATTATATAGCAAATCTATTAGATATTGGGTTACTGTATTTTGTATTGGTATTACTAAACGTTTTCTAGATTACGAACCCATTCCTTCTGGAATCGAACTGAGATTTAAATCTTCCCAAATCAAATATCTTTCAATTGGACTCTTATATATATATATACAGATGATATCCATTTACTTCAACTTTAGATATATTTTGAGAACTAAGTTTGTTATGACTTAATAAGCCGTAACCAAACACAATTTCGGGCATTAAAAAGTTTACATCAATACTTTTTACCACAAACGACCACGCTTCAGTAGATTTTATTTAACCTATTTTCTAAGACTGAATAATCCTGATAATTAGATTGATGTACGCACAGGCTATACTGATCTGTAGTTATAATTTTATAATATTATGAAATAAAAAAATGTTGGCTAAACTGCCTCCCCAAAACCGTCTGCATATAAAATACAATATGACTCAAAAGATTCCTGACTTCTGTGCGCTCGTGGTTTGGGCATTCTATTGAGACTGAGCGATCTCTGTATCAATTGCTCTGAACAGGCGTCGCTGTCACTCGTTGAATACCACTCCAAAAACATCGTCTTGTAACCCTGTGTATTAATTTTTGAAAGCGATACTCGACCCGTAGCGGTGGAGTAAGTATCTTTTTAAACATCTGTTACAACAATTCGTAGCGGTAACAATTGTTCAAATACCAGTTATTGTTCACGAAATTGGATTAGAGCGAATTTTACCGATATGATTAAATTGTGTCTTTTATGCATCGCACTACCTGCTAGAGGTGACTACTGATTTGATATAGAAATGGGTAACGAGGAATGAAATAAAATAGTATTCCCGAATAGAAACTTCTAATGTCGAACAATTGAATACTGTGACATGCAAACATACCTCAGGGTTGAGAAATTCATATATAAGGCTAGAAAAAATAATCACACCAGGCCAACTTTTTTTCTACGGGACTAAAATGGGTAAAAGTTGATGTTTAGATTCATCATTCTAACTTATTTATAAGAGATTTATTGTCTAGCGCGATCCACTGATAAGACGAGCAAAAACTCAATTTTATTCAATACAAAACATAAGTTTCGAAACAAACTATTACAGTTAATTGATTTCACCCCTGAATCTAGAATCTATCCTACTAGAATAAGTTTAATTGTTATGAATTGAAGACACGTGTGTAAAATAACAACTGAATTATAAAAAAGTGAAGCGAAGTGGGCAACTGTATATTAGTTGTTCTGTCTGACCTTTCACAACCCCAGAACTTACTTGAACAAGGCATAATCAGCGTATGTTTAAACGCACGATGATATTAGAACCCATTAGCAGGTACTCGAAATTTAAATAAACCTCCCCAAAATCATTGTAACAATAATATTGTAGATTATTACAACATTGAGGAGAGTGTGTCTTGATAAAAATAATACTAATACAGGTTTTGCATAAACTGGATAAACTTTTTTTCAACTGAGCTGAGAAAAAAATCTTATTATGCAAATGAACTTTCTCGATGGCTTAGTACTAGCGATCAAATACTCACTCAGATTCAATGAAGTTCGTCTTGGTTGATAATCCGCTTTCCACTTTATCTCCGAAAAATATTCTCTTGATAAATATGTCACACGATCAACTCAATTGTGATGCATAGGAAATCTGAGTTTTTTTTTTATCACTTTTTAATAGTCGGTTCCCTTAGCAGTATCATCATGTCGTCAAACAAATCAAGTGGTAAGATATCTACCCGATGTTTTCAATTGACGCATTCACCAAATACCGGGCGTTGGGCAAGGCAATTCCTTTGTCAAACAAATATAAATTTTTGCAAACACGTCATTGTGCTACATTGAAATGAACGGATAATTAAGATTATTTTCTATATCCGAATATTTGTCTTTAGATATAATGCCTTCTTCAATCAAAATTAAATTGTCAATTGTTGAAGTTCCTCTTCTCGATCAATACTTGGCATGTCGTTACATTAGATGCACAATTAGTCGACATCGGAAGTTGTAAAACATTTATTTACTTTCTCATCCTATTTTTAATGCTTCGCCGCTCCCTCGATTGTAATCATGTTTACAATCGCGTAGTTTACATTGCAAGCATAGAAATCGACCAACGACCCTGGTTTCTTTTTCGTCCAGAATGAAGTTAAATAAAATAACCTCGATTGTAATCATGTTTACAATCTAGTAGTTTGCATTACAAGCAAAAAAAAAATCGACCAACGACCCTGTTTTCTCTTTCGTGCAGAATGAAGTTAAATAAAATACCCATAAATTGCATCGTTATTGTGTGAACTGGAATCCATCGAACTTGAGTAAAACGTGCCAGAGTACTATTTCCATATTTCTATACATATTAATTGTAACATTTAACATTCATTTAACAGTAGTTCTAAATCGTAAAAGCTTGTTCCATTATAAAACCGGTTTAGAATTGAAAAACTGATATTTGTTCAATTTTTTACTCAGGTTAATCTTGTCCCAGATGAATGTTAAAACATTAAATACGGTTGAATTTGTCTAAATTGGAAAACTCTACCCATCCAATTAAAAAAAACGAAATAAGCTTATTTAAATTATTTGGACAGTTTTTACCGTAATATTCCCTTCATTTTTCGAAAAAGATAATACCGATATCTGATCTGTGAACGAATCTATCTGTGTAATATTATATATACATATTTTGCTATTTCGATTTTTTATCGTAGACTCGTTTATTTAAACAAAACGTGGATTGATTGTCATGTGAATCAGTAGTCAGACCATGCCAATTATTACCGCGAATGTCGATTATGACGTCACTGATATAGGGGACCTCACAATCCGCAAAGCATATAGTAAAGGCCATAGGGACTCTAATCGCCTGAAAATGGCCATGTCTCGAGGGAACACATGCATTTCCCTCTGTTGCTGTAGGATGAGCTTTTAGGGTTGGACAATTCTAAGGACAATTCTAAATGCGATCGAATTTATTGAGCCTGTTTCTGCGTTTTGTTTTCAAACCTGATGCATTTCGTGTAGAGATGTAATAGTTGAATGAGAATTCTGAACTAATTAGGGCTCTGTATCTCCATCTTGCGTTACCTAATGCTAATTCTCTCAAATTCAATTCAGTCTACCGCGCAAGCTTTGGAAACGAATAAACCACATTGTCCCGTCCAGTTGTGGGATTCAGCCGGTTCGCACCGGTTTTATAGAACCATCTCACGATATTTTATGAGATCAGCGAACCGGTTGGCATTACTGAAAAAAACATGACTTTTTGTAACAGAACCGGCTGAAAAATATGACATTTGTGCATGTGATGAAACCGGCTGACAAAAAATTTGAATCCCATCACTGGTCCCGTCTAACTTTAACGATATCGTATAACTTCACTCCGTCATTTCGAGCACAAAACAGGGTGGTCCAAACTGTGGACCGCTGACACATTCCGTGCGGCCCTCAGAGCAATTTTAGCGTACACTACTAAACCACTGGCAGATATTGTATTTATCAGCAGAACAATTTTGATTTATTGTTAAACCATTCCAACAGGAAATACTCTTTTTCCTAATCACAATGTCGGGATTGATGTTTGTTAAAATCACGGAATTTCATTGTGGTATCTATAAACGTCAAGACGGTGCCTATATAGGAATGGCATCGGTTCAATGAGAATGAATTATCTTGTGTAGACACGACCAAGTCGATGAGATGAGCTCGCTTGCTCACGCTACAAGGAATAATTTTTTTCAAATATAGCAATTCATCATACAATGAGTGTAGAATAAAGTTGGCCTAAATAAACCTGCGAGAAACTATTTCCTTACCCACAACAGCGTTAAACCACAATGTCTGGTGTGTTTTCAAGTAATATCCGTCGCGAAAGAATATAATTTTAAGCGGCATTACAAAACTAAACATGAGAAAAGATACCGAAAATACCACAATATTTCTTGGGAAGCTATTTTAAAATGAATAAAGGCTTTTTCCTTGGCTAGTTTCCTTAAAACACTGATTAGAATGATAAACTCTCAATATTAAATATATTTAGAGTGAGTAAACTCGCGATGTTTTGATCACTTTTGGGTTTTCTCCGACTGCGGCCCGCGAGACCATCCTCAAAAGTTTTTGCGGCACTTCAACCTTGATCCACCCTGCTTTAAAACGTTTAGCAATTAGCATATTTGATGCAAACGTCTACCGCAACTCTCGAAAAAGTTTTTCAAACCGTATATGCACGCA